ATATTTGAATTCAGCACATCAAAATACATAATAAATAGCTCATTTTATCTCTGAAGCAGACGACTTCTCAAAAATTGTAGACCAGTGTAATAATGAAATAATAATAGTACAGAGAAAGACTCTTCTGCTCCTGATATTTCCTTGTTCTGAAGAAGAAAAAAGGAGTTCTTTGTCCTATTCTGTACATAAGGAGACTCAACAAACATGCATATGGTCTCAGGCTCTACTCCTGGGAGAATTCTGCACCAAAAAATCAAAAAATCTGCATATTTTATTTGTCAAAAAATGCAATATAATCACTCCCATTTCATTTATTTTTGGTAATTTATTTAAACTACCATATAGAAAAAAATCACAGCAACTGTTCAGCATTTTCTAAACACATGAAAGTTAAGTTACAAATACTTGGTAACCCTGCATTCCAGTTATAATCCTGGATTTTCATTTAAATGACGTTACTTTTATATTGGTGTTTGGTGTTCTATAAAGTAGAACGTTGCTTTAAATTGCTCAGACTTTCACGCTTGAAAGTCGTACCATTTTGCTAATCATTGTCTTGCATTTTTTTTAATGGGATAAGTAAAATAGGTCCTGAGCTGTAATCTAACCCCATTGTGCCTCTTTGGCACAGGAAAAAGGAGAAAGCACATAGACTTTCCTAGCTGAGGATTCCCTTACTGTCATTTACAATAAGGCTCCTTTTTGTACTCTGGCAAGGTAAAGCCTTAATTGACTAAGAATGGGAACAATTAACTAACAATGGGAACATTAGCAGCCTGCCTGTTTAGTTGTTACAGGAGTAAGGTTCAGGGGGTAATGTTTGCCTCTGTCAAGTTCATAACTGGTTTGCAGTTCTCAGCTTCCGGTCCACAGAAAATACCTAAGATTCCCAGTGGGGCCTTACCATTACCCATACAGGGTTTTGCTTTTCAGATTCTCTCTGATGCTGACTGTTAACCAAGTTTCTGGCCATAGTAATGACTTATCTAAGGAAGGAGGGAATCCCTGTCTGCCCCTGTCTAAATGACTGGCTGATCAGAGGCAGGTCCCAAGAAGAGACTGCTCTGGATTGCATCTTCTCCCTATTCTTTCCCTTAAAACTTCTGGTGAAGTATGTGAAATAATCTCTCGTACTAGCTCAGACAATAGAGTTCATGGGCACTGTGCTTAACTCAAGTTTGGTGAAAGCTTTTATGCCAGAGTACAGGTTCTGGTCCCTTCGGTCAACAGTGTATGACCTGCAGATCACTGTGTGTGCATGTTTGGGACATTTTGGTCATATGTCCTTGTGCATATACGTGTGATGCAGCTTGCCAGACTTGGCCTGCAGCCATTACAATAGTGGCTGAGGATAGTGTATATTCCATCCACACACCTTATTACCAAACAAGTCAGTCTCCCTTCCCCCCCCCCCCATATCCTGCAGGAACTTAAGTGATGGCTATATCCTTTGAATGTAAGAAAAGGGATACACTTCTTGTTCCCTTTCCCAATGATGATGCTGGAGAGTTGCATCATGGACAGACTGTGGTGCCCACTGGAACCATCTGAAAATGCAAGCTTCAGGGTCTCAAGATGATCTAAAACTTCACATGAACAACTTGGAACTGAGAGCTATCAGACTGGCTTATATGGCATTCCTTCTCATCCTCTGAAACACCCACAGTGCGATTGTGACAGGCAACATGTCGGCAATACACTCAACAAACAGGGAGGTGCTTGATCATCTCCTCTCTGCCTGGAGGTGATCAAGTTCCAAGAACAGTCGTATTGGCAAGGAGTGACTCTGATAGCTCTACACCTACCAGGGCTCAGCAATGACCTGGTGGACTTTCTAGGCAGAAATGTGGTAAGCCGCCACAGCTAGTCACCGTGGAAATATTTCGTTGATGGGAACGCCCACCATAGACCTCTTCACCATGGCAGATAATGCCAAATACAGGGATTTCCGCTCCATGGGCAGTATGAGCCCCAGCTCCCTTCCTAGCACCTTTGTACTTCAATGGTCTTGAGGACTGCTGTATGCCTTCCCACTGATCACTCTGACCCCTAAGAGCATATCCAAGATCAAATGGGACAAAGCTACAGTCATCATAATATTGCCCTGCTGGCTGAGACGATTTTGGCTGTTGGATCGCCTGCATTTGTCCAGCCAGCCCCCCACCCCCAAAATGACTTCCCACCTGCCTGGAAATGCTGTCTCAGAACTAAGGACAAATATTTCATCTGGCTCCATAGCCGTGCTTGGTGACCTGAATGTTGGCTTATTGAGGAAGACAGATGAAGACTGCTCCCTACAGGTCCAGAAGATCCTTTTACAGAATGGCAAAGATTTTCCAAATGAGAAGCTCAAAACAATGTGAATCCAACTCAGATCCTATACCAAAGATTCTGGACTATATGCTGCTTCTGAAACAAGCCAAACTAGCCTTTATCTTCCTTAAAATTCATCTAGAAGTCATATCAGCATGTCTTGCTCTGATACAGTCATACTCAATCTTTTCATACCCTACAGTGTTGAGATTCCTCAAGGACCTTCTCCCTACCTGCCCTCCAACTAAGGACCCTACTCCCACATTGTAGCGTAGTGAAGCCTGGAGTCGCCATTTGTGCCATCAGCAGAATGTTCTTTATACCACCTCACTATCAAGATGGTGTTTCTGATAGCCATCACATCAGCATGTAGAGTCAGTGAACTGCGAGCTCTTGTGGCTGAACTGCGATATATATCCTTCCACAGGAACGAAGTGGTGATGGAACCGGACCCTAAATTCATCCACAGAGTGATCTCAGAAGTCACCTAAGCCAGTTTGTCACCTTACCATTCTTCTCAAAGCCACACTCATCACCAGGAGAAAAGAAGCTTTGTATTCTGGATGTTACTGGGGCCCAGCTATATGACATAAACAAGACTTTCAGACTTTCTCCCTGGCTCTTTGTGGCCATATCCAATACATCAAAAGGCCAAGCCATCTCATCCCTGAGAATCTCAAAGAGAATTATTCAGTGCATTTCTACCTACTTACTATCTGTTGTATGGCAAGGCTCTCCCTGCAGACGCTCCACGTGGGGTGCAGACAGCATCTTCAGCCTGCTTTAGAACTATACAGATAGCTGAGATCTGTAAGATAGCCACATGGAGCAACTCAATGACCTTTGTGAAATGCTGTGCATTTGACATGGCTGACAGAGCAGATGTCGCATATGGAAGAGCAGTACTTCAATCCATGTTTGACTAATACAACTGAGATTCTTCACTCGCATCCAGTGAGGATTCTTCTTGCCTGTCACCTAGAGTGGTATTTACACTAACACATATTCGAACAAGAAAGTACAGTTATTTACCCTACAATAATTGAGGTTCTTCAAAATGATGTAGTCCCACGACCCACCTTCCATTCTTATTTTTCGGAGTCCTCAGCGACACCGGCTTTAAATTGTGAGAGAACTGAGGGGAGGGTCATAGCCACTCCACCCTTTATGCCCTCGTATGGGAGGCTCCGCTGGACATTATTTGTAAAATTAAAAAAATGAAAAATTCAGTCTCCCAATTCATGGGTCGCATTCACACCTAGAGCAGGATCCACACTTACAACATTTCAAAGAAACACAGTTACTGTAGGGTAACTAACTGAACTTCCTAATGTGTATATATTATAGACAGGGCTGGTTGTGCTATGTATTATTCTTCCAGGTCTTGTGTCTGATGAAGTGGGCATTCACCCACGAAATCTTATACTCCAATACTTCTGTTAGTCTTAACGGTGCCACAGGACCCTCTGTTGCTTTTTACAGATTCAGACTAACATGGCTACCCCTCTGATACCGAACTTCCTAATGTGTATATATTATAGACAGGGCTGGTTGCGCTGTGTATTATTCTGGCAGCCTTTTCTTTGAGAAGCTCTAACACCTCCATACTTTGAAGGTAGGCACTTGAAATTGGCTGGTGGAGTGGTATTTGTGTCAGAGATGTGGTTTTTGCTATTCCCATGAAAATTTGTCCTATTTTGGTCATGCTTAGTAAAGACTTGCTAGAGCTTCATCTTTAAAATCTCCAAAGAACAGTCAGCACTGGATCTTTAATAATGTTCTTTTAACATAGGTTTTTTTTGTGTGCAATAAAATACAGAATTTGGAAAATTTCAATTGTTTATCTCTCAACCCTCAAAACTTGTCACATGGCTGGATGCTAATAAATTCATACTTTATGTACATTAATCAAATGTTATTTGGGTAAAAAAGTATTAATTCAAGTTTCATTGTTTTGATTATAAAAAGTTTCATTTCATAGCTCCACTATAAAAATACCCTAAACTTTTCAATAGCATTTCTAATCTGGTGATGTCATTTATTTTCCTTTTTATGATAAAAATCATTTTCACAAAATTCTAGTTGAGACTTTGACAAAATGATAATATATTTTGGGGATAAATTGTGAGTTTGGGTAAAAGGTGAACTATTCTTATTAATATATTATTGTATGCATTTTCTTTAGAGGTTGGCTGTAGGAGTTTTGGCAGAAAATGGCTTGACGTTGGAAGAATGGCTGCCTTCAGCATGGATTACAGATACTATTCCTCGTCGGTGTCCGTTTGTGCCACAAATGGGTGATGAGGTATTTTTGTTTTTCTCAAGATTCTTGCTTTCCATTTCCAGTTTTTCAGCTTTTTTACGTAACTTTTTTAGAAATGTATGTAATTATTTTTCATCATTATTTTTCTGAACATTTTGGATTGATTAAAACTCCCTTTAAAGCTTAATTTTAATCAAGCCAAAATTATTTTCTTTCAGAATGAAAGTTTCTCTGTCAGCACATTCTACACTGCCTCTGCGCGCCTTAAAATCTTCTAAATGCTATGTCACATTTGGGCTATCCCTTTTCTTTTTCCACACTATTGTGATGGGGTTTTTTTATTGCACTGTATTTCTCCTGTGCCTTTCCTCACCTTTTTTACTTCAATGGGGTATATGCCCCGTATACTAAAGCGAGAAGTAAAGCAGGAAGAACTGGAAATACTAGTTAATATGCACAACTATGACATAGCTGGCATCACAGAGACTTGGTGGGATTATTGGTATAGAAATGTACACTTGCTCAGGTAGGGGGAAAAGGGAGGAGGTATTGCCTTATATATCAAGAATGTATAAACTTGGACTGAGGTTGAGATGGAAATAGGAGACAGACTTGTTGATAGTCTCTGGGTAAGGATAAAAGGGGTTAAAAAAAACAAGGGTGATGTTATGGTATGGGTCTACTACACCTAACCAGGAAGAAGAGGTGGATGATGTTTTTTTTAAATAACTAACAAAATCATCCAAAGCACAGGACTTGGTAGTGATGGGGAACTTCAACTACCCAGACATCTGTTGGGAAAGTAACACAGCAGGGCACAGATTATCCAATAAATTCTTGGAATGTATTGGAGACAATTTTTTATTTTAGAAGATGGAGAAAGCTTCTAGGGGATAAGCTGTTCTAGATTTAATTTTGACAAATAGGGAGGAACTGGTTAAGAATTTGAAAGTGGATCATGGAATGATAGAGTTAATGATTCTAAGGACTGGTAAGAGGGTAAACAGCACAATAAAGATAATGGATTTCAAGAAGGCAGACTTTAGCAAACTCAGGGAGTTGGTAGGTAAGATCCCATGGGAAGCAAGTCTAAGGGGAAAGACAGTTCAAGAGAGTTGGCAGTCTTTCAAAGAGACGTTATTAAGGGCACAAGAGCAAACTATCCATTGTGTAGGAAAGATAGGAAGTATGGCAAGAGACCACCCTGGCTTAACCAGGAGATCTTCAATGATCTCAAATTGAAAAAAGTCCTCCAAAAAGTGAAAACTAGGTCAGATTACAAAGAATGAATGTAAACAAATTATACAAGTATAAAGGGACAAAATTAGAAAGGCCAAGGCACAAAACAAGATCAAACTAGCTGGAGATGTAAAGGATAACAAGAAAACATACTACAAATACATTAGAAGTAAGAGGAAGACTAAGGCCCATTACTCAATGGAAGTGGGGGGACGACGACAATAACAGAAAATGTGGAAATGGCAGAAGTTCTAAATGACCTTTTTGTTTCAGTTTTCACCAAACAGGATAGTAGCAATTGGATGTCTCAAATAGTGAATGCCAGTGAAAATGAGGAAGGATCAGAGGCTAAAATAGGAAAAGAACAAGTTAAAAATTACTTAGACAAGCTAAATGTCTTCCGTCATGAGGTCCTGATCAATAAATCCTAGAATACTCGAGCCGACTGAGGAGATATCTGAGCCATTAGCAGTTATCTTCGAAAAGTCATGGAAGATGGGGTACATTCCAGAGCATTGGAAAAGGGCATATAGTGCCAATCTATAAAAAGGGAAATAAGGACAACCTGGGGAATTACAGACCAGTCAGCTTAGCTTCAATACCCAGAAAGATAATGGAGCAAATAAGTAAGCAATCAATTTGCAAACACCTAGAAGATAATACGGTGATGACAAATCCATGATGACTGGTACTTAAGAGAAAATCATGTCAAACCAGCCTAAGAGCTATCTTTGACAGGATAACAAGCCTTGTAGGTTGGAGGGGAAGTGGTAGATGTCGTATATCTTGACTTTAGTAAGGCTTTTGATACTGTCTCGCATGACCTTCTCATAAACAAACTAGGGAGATGCAATCTAGATGGAGCTACTATAAGGTGGGTGCATAACTGGTTGGAAAACCATTGCCAGAGAGTAGTTACTAGAGGTTCACAGTCAAGCTGGAAGGGCATATCAAGGGTCCCATAGGCATCAGTTTGGGCCCAGTTTTGTTGAATATCTTCATCAGATGATTTAGATAATGGCATAGAGAGTACACTTATATAGTTTGCGGATGATACCAAGCTGAGAGGAGTTGCAAGTGCTTTAGAGAATAGGATTAAAATTGAAAATGATCTGGACAAACTGGAGAAATGGTCTGAGGTCAATAGGATGAAATTCAATAAGGACAAATGCAATGTATTCCACTTAGGAGGAACAATCAGTTGCACACATACAAAATGGGAAATGACTGCCTAGGAAGAAATACTGCAGGAACGTATCAGGGGGTAATGGATCACAAGTTAAATATGAGTGAACAGTGTAATACTGTTGCAAAAAAGCAAATGTCATTCTGGCATGGAGTATTGTAAGCAAGACACGAGAAGTAATTCTTCCACTGTACTCCGTGCTGATTAGGTCTCAACTGGAGTAGTATCCAGTTCTGGGTGCTACACTTCAGGAAAGATGTGGACAAATTGGAGAAAGTCCAGAGAAGAGCAACTAAAATGATTAAAGGTCTAGAAAACATGACCTATGAGGGAAGATTGAATAAATTGGATTGTATAGTCTGGAGAAGAGAAGACTGAGGGGGGACATAAGTTTTCAAGTACATAAAATGTTACAAGGAGGAGGGAGAAAAATTGCTGTTCTTAACCTCTGAGGATGGGACAAGAAGCAATGGGCTTAAATTACAGCAAGGGCAGTTTAGGTTGGACATTGGGAAAAACTTCCTAACTATCAGGGTGGTTAAGCACTGGAATAAATTGTCCAGGAAGATTGTGGAATCTCCATTATTGGAGATTTGTAGACAAAAACTTGTCAGGAATGGTCTAGATAATACTTAGTCCTGCCATGAGTTCAGGGGACTGGACTAGATGACCTCTTGAGGTCCCTTCCAGTCCTACATTTCTATGATTCTGTGATTCAATAGTTGAATTCCAAAACTGACAGATATATAAAAAAAATTTTTTTTAAATTTATAAAATGTGCCAAGTACAATGTATTGGGTGTACGAACAATACTTATAATATATGGCTTGAAAATCCAAGTCAAAAACAAGATTTTATGTACCCTGTCTTCCACAATCAATGACACACAAATTCACCCCTCGGGAAAAAGCTAGAGGAAGTAGTTGGGCCATACACTATAAAATCTGCACGGTCCTGAATCTTCAAAGAGCTAAGCATTTCTGGAGAGGTGTTGAGCACCCAGAGTGCTGAACTGAGGGCTGGTCCACACTAACCCCCCAGTTCGAACTAAGATACGCAACTTCAGCTACGTGAATAACGTAGCTGAAGTCGAAGTACCTTAGTTCGAAATACAAGGTACTTACCGCGGGTCCACACACGGCAGGCAGGCTCCCCTGTCGACTGCGCGTACTCCTCTTGCAGAGCAGGAGTATCGGCGTCGACGGCGAGCACTTCCGGGATCGATTTATCGCATCTAGACAAGACGTGATAAATCAATCCCAGAAGATCGATTGCTTACCACCAAACCCGGAGGTAAGTATAGACGTACCCTGAGTTCCCACATAGATCATCAACTTCAGCTTCCATTGAGAGCCTCTGAGGAGGTGCTCTGCTCCTCACAGAATCAAATCCAAGATGAACTAATCTGGTCAGTGGTGCCATCTAGGTATTGTAGGGTTGTCAGCGATATGCCTGTACCATACTCTTAAGAGTCTTTAGCACCCTACTAGTATTGACATGTTTCACAGAAATCTCACATTTGGCCAGGCAAAGCAGATGTTGCACTGTATACAGGGAATACTTAGGCATGCTCTCATCTGTCTGTTGTTCAGAAGAACCTTGACATTAATGAACTTGACAGTTGCCACCTAGTCTGTACCTGGAAACATAGGAATTGTTGCACCAAAAGAGATGTACCAGTAATACATCTAGTCCAGAATCGTATCACTGACAATGGTTGTTCTCATATGTGTCCGAGAGGGTGCAAGAAATTCCACAGCTGGATAATTATTTTATTATAAGCACGGCTGGTAACATGACCTATTATTAAGGTTGCTCAACTCTTCCCTTAGGCCCTATTTTCTGTTGCTTATGACTTTGACGATAATTATTTGGGCTGAAATTTTCCATACTGGGTGTCTGCCTTAGGCTGCATTTTTTGGAAAATTTCAGCCAAAACAATTTAGGATGTGTCTGCACTGCAGTGCAAGCTTAGGCTCATATCCACCTTTCATCTACACATAATTATGTCTGACTCGGGCCAGCAAGCCCTCCATGTGCAGGCCCCAGGACCCCATCAGTGTGGGGAGATATTTGAGCCTGAGTCCCACAGGCTCAAATTTTGCAGAATGGATGCAGCTCTGGCCCATGCCTCCCATACTGGGACCTGAAAGTCCACCAATGCTGTCCCACAACCCCATGGGATGGTGTCTTTCGTCCTTTCTATCCCAAGAAATGGAAATGGTTTCTCTCGGGTGAGACAAGCAAACAATTAGACTTCAGCAAGAGTTCAAGAAATGACCATGCATACAAGGAAATAGTGAAGAAGTTGGCAGCTTTGTGGATTTACCAGACCAGCGCAGAGAGTGGATTAAGCATTCCAAGAACAACTACTGGAAAGCCAGGGATGAGAACCACACCTCTGGAAACTCACCTGCCCGTTTTATGAGGAGTTTGACCAGGTACTGGGAATGGCACCGAGTACTGAGCCACCAGCATTATGACAGTCTGGTTAGCAGAGATGGTGATCTTCTGACCCTGGAATCCAGTTTGACACTGGAGGGGAGCAAGCATCCAATCAGGCTGCTGAAGTGACCCTTGTGCTCACGCCAGTCTCCCAGAATGCTTTGCTGCTGTA